CCTCTCGTAAAAAAAAACAAGACCAAACAAAACCTAGGAGAACACTAATGAGGAGGAAGAAGAACATGCTGGAAACACATAGAACTCTTGCTCTGGCACAGTCCAGCAAAAGGGGTGGGGTGGGGATCATTCTTTTGTATTATTAAAGATCTTTGGGTGCTCATTCTCTTGTTCATTCTTTCTCTTTTTAGCAGAACTAAGACTCTGCTTACTTCAGGAAAAACATTTCAATAAGAAACAATTAGCTATTAAAACACACATGTTGTCTAACTCAAAAACAAAAGATGAAAGGATTTATCCCCCATGGAAAAGTTGCTGCCAACAAAACTTCCTCTTTCTATAAAGCACAAACCCCCCCCCCCAGCTTTTTCTTTCATCTGGAATGTCACAAAAATAGTAAAAACTATCAAGGGCCCTTATCCTTGCTAAGGATCGTGGATTGCCTCTCTAACAGGGGACTTGTAGATGAAGAGCCAATGAACTGGAACTCACAATGTAATTGCCAACCTAATTGATAGTTAAGACAATGCTATAGAATAGCTCCTGTTTATACAGACAAGTTCTTTAACAACATTAAAGGTTTAATGTTGTCATAAATTTTAATATAATATTTTAAATATAAGTGAGTTAATCATTCTCAAAAGTAAATTTACTTAGCTGAGGAAGAAATCTCCGACTTCATTAGTATTCTCTTACATTGATAAATTTCCCTTTGTCACATCTGAGGGTTTACAGGATTGGCACTGGCTTTAGCTACAAAAATGAGTCAAACTGATGCATATTCATCAAATGGCTGCTCTATACAAAGTGATGGTGCTTGTCTTGGTTCTTTTACCAAGGGGAGTGAGAACTTAAGCAAATCACAGCCTCACTAGGTGTCAAACTAGAAAATGAGAGATTTTCATTAAATGATCACTAAGGCTTCTTCCAGCTTTAACTAAATGCAGTTCTGTAATTTTTACATGTTTTGAAAACACCAGATATTGAAGAGCATGCCAGAGAAGTATAACACCCAGCACTTCCACTCAAATGCGTGGAAGGTCCATGTTAAAATGCAAACATGTCATCTGGGAAAAGATGGCATTAAGTCATCATCAGCCATCACCATATGATAAGACATTTCCATCCAGGAGGAATGAGCTCCAGGCAGCTACAGAGTCCCCAGGAAGAGCAGTTGCCAGGAAGAAAAGGATTGAAGCAGGCATTACAAATCAAGCACCTATAGAAGCTGGGCAAAGAACATAAATAAATGGGGAGAGGTGGGTTGGAATTATGCAAAAATGAAGAGCTGCTCCTCAGCTCCAGTTAATTGTTGCTTTATAGGAATGTAGGCCCTGGGTTATCTCTTCTTCAGGTTCTTCCAAAGATAAATCCAAAAAATATGTAAAAACTCCTGAATTTTGAATATTGATTTAAAATATTTTAATGTTATGTGAGCCAAGTATGTCTCCACACAAGATACACCTGTAGGACACCAAATTTGAGGGCTCTTATGTGGGGCACTGTACTGCCAGGAATATAATATAGTGATGGGGCAACATGGCCAATGGGAGGAGGGAAGCAATGCGAAAAGATGGAGGCAGCCAAAACTATATCTGAGGTTGACTCTGCAGAGGGAATTCGGAAGAGCAGGCAGAGTTGGAGGTACGAAGACATTAGGACAGGGGTTCTAACCCTTTGCTGGGGTCATGTGCTCTATATGAAATTCTGATAAATGCTTTAGAGATTTTCCCTAGAAAAATAAACGTACGTGAGGTAGACAATAATGGTCCCCCAAAGATGTCCATGTCCTCCTCCATGTTCCTCCCCTGCCACGTCATCTTACATAAAGGGGACCGTGCAGATTTGATTAACTTAAGGACCCTGAGACAGGCAGATTTTATGAGTGAGCCCTATCTAATCACGTGAATATCTAAGATCAGAAAATCTGTCCCACCCACGATCAGAAAGTGGGACCATGAACCATGGAATGTGGGCAGCCCCTGGAAACTGGAAAAGGTAAGGAAATGGGCTGATTCTTCCCCACTGATTTCATCCCCAGAAAGGAATGCAATCCTGCTGACAGCCTTCTTTTGGCCCAGTGAGACCCATGTTGAAATTCTATCATAGAGAACTATAAGATAATAAACTTGTGTTGTTTTAAGCCACAATTTTGGGGTCATTTGTTACAGTAGCAATAAAAAACCAGCAGAGTATATACACACTCAAACTCTGGCAAAAACATTCACGGACCTTCCCGAAGCTTATGTACAGACAGAAAAAGGCTCCTTGTGCTAGAAAGAGCCCAAGATACAACATGAGAGCTGTCAGAGCTATCAGTATGAAACTATTTGGCATGCATGGAAAGATCAATGCCCACCTCATGACCTCAATCAGCTTCAAAATTTCACTTCTACAAAGATGGGTTCATTCTCTGAACACTGCTCCTCTAAGTGTCACCGAAACGATGTGTGACCCGTGGTGGCATCTGGCTACAGAAAGATCTTTCTTCCTTTTTTTATAGTGTGCATTATGTTAATAACTTTCTCCCCTCTCCCACCCCCAAGAAGGCGGCATTTTACACCTGCTGAGGTTTAGCCTGGCTTCTTCCCTCACTCCAAGCCAAACCTAGGTCTGGTGTGTCCTGTTACAGTATCACATTTCTATCAAGATCCTGTTCAGCAAAATATGCCCAGACCTGGCCAGATGCTGGCTTAAAACAGAAGAGGAATGTTATCATCAGGAATGTGAGCTACCTGATTCAAAGTTGTTTTTAGCCTCAGATCTCATTTCGCCAGTTCATCACATTTCACAATCCCTATAATATTTTGAGATGGATTTTTTTTTTAAGTTCCTTTAGAATGTCCCTGGGTGACGCCACGATGGTTGTGATAAATAACTGTAGTTTAAAGGTTACCTGCCCAATCCAAATAGCAATCTAACAGCGCTAGACATAACTGGCCTAACAGCACTTCTGATCTGTGACTTAGCACCAGATCCTGCCATTGCTGACACCGTTGCACAGAACATTCTGGAAGGCTGCTAGCTCAGAAACCTAGGTTCTTTGAAAGTGTGGCATGGAGGCTGAGTGGGAAAAGCAGAAAAGGACAAGAAGGTACTTGGGATCCTATGGAGGTTGCTAAGGGGTAGAGGAAGAGAGACCAGATCTACTTTTACAAGGAGAAGGAGACAATCAACCAGGGACTGGAAGACAATCCTGACTTAAGGAGGAAGACTGCCCAGGGACCATGTATTTTCTTTTCCTGGCACACAGAAGAGGTCTGGGAACCTCCTAAACTTTTACACAAACTTGTGTGTATGTGTGCATCTCTTTCTGAGGCAGGGTGCCATAGATCTCTAAGAATATAAATAAATTATAACTCCCCTGCTCATCCCCAATATAAGAATTGCTACTCTATATGTTCCCTAGTAAGCCTAGTCCCATGCAATACTGTTAGCTCTCAACTAGTCATATGTAAAGCATTCCCACCACAAAATCCTATTGAATTTCTGCATTGCCCTCTTACAACAGTAAAACTACCAGTTAGCCTTCCCACTGTAGGTGGGATACAAAATGCTTTTAAGTTTACCGAACATCAAGCATCTTTGAGAAGGTTAACTGCTAATACCATTTTTCCTAATTGGCCTTTGTCAAATATCCACACCCAAAGGAAAACTATATATTCCATACATAAGCATGAATAACTTAAGTGTGAGTTTTGTTTATTTTGCTTTGCCTTTACACTATTTTGAAATATGCACGGGAATATAATAGACCTTATTCTTGCTAAGAGAGGTAGTCATCAGGCTGGTGGATCATTGCCTAAGTGGATTCTAGCTAGCCCAAAACAGCTTTATTATAACAAGGCCTCAAATAAAAAGGAAAACATCCTGATCAGTGGAAAAATGACAAGGTTGAGTCCAACAGGTATTATCTGTCAAGTAAAAATAAACAGATAAGAGATGGCAACTTGTGAGGAGGGTTATTAAATGTGCCCATAAGTCCACTTGGATAGTGATTCACCTTACCTTTGGGGTTCCATGATTCTAAACTTAGTATAGTGGATATTTTAATGCACAATTACATAGCACGGCCAGTCTTCTCTGTAGCTGTTGATTCATTTAGACTGTGATGCCTTAGAAAAAAATTCTAAAGGTCATGCTCGGAAGCACAGCCCCCCTTCCCACTGAGAAAGGGCTATGATTACACCGTACACAAGATCCTACAAAGACAGCTGACACAACTAGCGGCTGAATTCTTTCTTCTGTTTATTTCCAGAAGAGACTTTCCATAGACAGCTGCAATGTCGGGCTCCTGTCCGAATGTCATGCCAACTTTTCTGCAGGCAGCTTTCTAAACCACATCCTTGCCCTGGCTCCAGGGCAGTCTCTGGCAGTGTACTAGGGTACAGAGGCCACCTGTGGGGCTACTTTAGGGCTGAGGTCTCACCTGGACAACATGACCACACTTGGGTCAGCACAGAATCCACACCTGCCATGCTGTAATCAGACATTTGTATTAATAGGTTCAAATTCTGGCTCAGCCTTTTTCACTTGCAAGTGTCTTAACGTCTATCAGAGTCAGACTCCTCCATAAATTGGGACTATGAGTACTTAGCTTTATGAGGAAGTGGAGAAGGCCAAATGAGAAAACATGTAAAAGTAGTTGGCATGGTGCCTACATGGTCATCATGATCACAGAGGAAAACCTAGTCCCCTTTAGCATGGACTAAAGGGGACAGAATGAATGAAATTAGCATTTCTTTCCAAGGGCAGGACCCATCTCCATCCCTTTTTGAGCCTTAAGGTGGATTATCTTCAAATAGGAGACAGAGAAAGTAGGTCATTTACATGTCGCTTAAACTCACTCTGGGGTTCTCCTTCTAGGCCCCTCTAGGCAGTTTCTCTGACTGTAAGGAATGCCAACGAAAGTCAGAAAGCCTTGACTCTTGCACACAAGTGAGCATTTCTGGGAAAGGAGCCCCAGGCACAGTGCAGCTTCTGACACACAAAAGGCCCACCTTGGTTGAAGTCGCACTGTTTCTTGGCACCTGAAGGTATTGTTTTGTGGACTCTCCTGAGCTGGCGCTCCTGCCTTCCCCTGATACTCTGACTGGCTGGGCACCACGTGCTCTGTCTCCTGCAAGAAGAAACAGCAAAAGTCCGTGAGCTGTCGGCAGCGATCAGTTCCTCAGCATTCCTTGGCTGGGAGGCGGGTATCGGGGCAGGGGAGCAGCAATACCTAACGCACTCTACTGACTGCAGTATAGGAAGAGAGCCCATGCAGTGGCCTGAAATTTAAAAAGCCTCTTTCTATCAGTCACTGCAAGATTACCGAGTAAAGAAAAAATAGTAATAAATCTAACACCCAAAAGCTATGATATAACCATACAATGAGAACTTTATGGACATCAAAAATGATGCTATAGAAGAATATTTAATGAATAGATACATCTGAAAATACAATTCATGGAACAATATTTATAGCATAGGCTCATTATTGCAAAAACAAACATAAGTATGAACATTCACACACACACACACACAGGGATAAGGTAAACCAAAATCTTAACAGTGACTAACAACCTTGAGATCATTTTTGTTTCTTTTGGGGGCTCAGATATGCTTTATAAATTTCCTACAATAAACAGACATTTCTATAATAAGAAAAAAACTTTTAAGTTAATGTGAAAACTAAAGAACAAATTGTTTTTATAAGTTCCAAGCTTTAAGTGTGCTTCATATCTCTCACCCCCTGACTCCTCCCCACCAACACCCTGTAGCCACTGGCTACATACACCGCATCTAAAGAAACCACAACAGCGGTCATCCGTGATGCAATCCACTCATTAATTTAGAAAACCTCCCGAGTGCTAAACTCTCTAGAGAATATCATAAACACACCCAAGCTAAAAACAATCTGGATTCAACACAAAGGCACACAGACACCAAAAATGAAAGATTCATACATGTCCAGCCATTGGCCTACTATAATCTTTGAGCCATGCCAAACCTCTACATGGCAAATTTTCCTTAGAGTAAAATAGCCCCTCTTTACATGGTCAATGAGATACTAAAACAGAAATCCACGAGAGAGGCAGGCACAGAGAAAAGGCCATGTGAGAAGCTGGCTGTCTGCAGGCAAGGAGCAAGGCCTTAGAAGAACCGAACCCTGTTGGCACCTTGATCTTGGACTTCAAGCCTCCAGAACTGATAGTCTCTGGAAGCTGGAGGAATTCTATTGACTCTTGTCAATGACCCTCATGGCTACATTTTTCCCAGTGAGGATGTGCTGGGCCACCGTTACCATGGCGAAGTCACCTTTGATGATGGTGCAGAGGAGCTGGTGTTCACCAATATGGGTGTCCTCAGCTGAGGTGGCCATGGGCCCTGCAGCACGCTGGATTTAGTGCTGGGCTTGAAGGCAAGATGTCCCAAGGTCAGCTTAAAACTGGGAAAAGCTGGTGAGAAGCTTGGTCTAGATTTCCTCAAAAGAAGATCACTTCTGAAGACCACCCGACAAACTGACCTTTTTAATGGGATTAAAGCACAATGCCTGAAGACCACCCAACAAACTGACCTTTTTAATGGGATTAAAGCACAATGCCAAACTAAAGTAAAAATAAACAAAAAACTCAAATACTAACAAAATAAAACATGAGAAAAAGGAATAAATAAGAAAAAAATGGGAGAAGGAAAAAAGAAAACAAGAAAAAAAGAAAAAGGAGAAAATAATTGAGAAAAATAAAAAATACTAAGAAAAAGGGAAAAATGAGAAAAATAAAATTAAAAATAAGGCCAGGTGTGATGGCTCATGCCCATAATGCTAGGACTTTGATAGGCCAAGGCAGGAGGACCACTTGAGAACAGACGCTTGAGACCAGCCTGAGGAAGACTGAGACCAGATCTCTATAAAAAATAGAAAAATGAGCAGGGCATGGTAGTGTGCACCTGTAATCCCAGCCATTCAGCCACTCAGGAGGCTGAGGCAGGAGGATCACTTGAGCCCTGGTGTTAGAGGTTGCAGTGAGCTATGATGATGCCACCACACTCTAATCCGAGCAACAGAATGAGATCCTGTCTAAAAAAAAAAAAGGAAAAAAAAGAAAGAAAGAGAAAAAGTTAACATAAATTTAAAAAAAATAGAAATCCCACAATGCCAGGAAAAAACAAGCTAACTGTTAGGCCACTGAAAACCAGCTTCCTGAGCTAGAAAGACGGAAAACCTGAGCTCAACCAGGGATTTATAGAGGTGCTTGAAGTTCCGTAACAGTGGCCTCTTAGGAGGTCACAGTAAGAAAGGGACCTATCCCAGCTGGGGCTAATCTGCAGTGCTTTCCTCACTTCTTGGCCTCCAGAACCCTTTACTCTTAAAAAAAATTGAGAACCCCCAAATAGCAACACATTTTTATTTATGTGGGTTATAGCTATCGATATTTATCTTATTAGATATTAAAACCTGTATGATGCTTCATAAAAAAAAAAAAAAGAAAAGAAAAAGAAATCCATGGGAAAGTGGTAGCTGCAGATGGCTGCCATCACACAGGCAAAGTATTCAAGTGATGCAGTGAATCTGGGTCTCACTGTGCAGCGTATTGTGGTGGCAACAGAGCCCCAGCCCCTCTTTTAGGGATGCGGGCTGAAGTCACTAAAAGTGCCAATGTGTCAGGTGTCTTGGAAGTCATGTTTCCAAAACACTAGAATGACCTCACGAGGCTATTTACCAAGCAGTCATTACAGCCGCTAAAATAAAATTATACGAACGCCTTCATATCAGATGCGTAAAGTGGGGAGGTGGGCAGAGCTATGGGAAAGGAATGAGTTAGACCTATAGAGATCCCTTCTTCCATTCCTCCAAGCCTCCAGCTTCAGGCAAGAAGACAGTCCACAAGAAAAGCTTCCATTAGTATGCACTAATTCCCAAGTCTCAGCAGTTGCTTGTGAAAAATCCTACAGCTACCCAAATACTGGCCAAATTCCCTCACCCAATGGTTTTATGTGAGATGTCTCTGCTTGCTACTTGCTAGAAGTACGACCTTGGCAAATTACACAAATAATCTGGGTCTCAGTTTCCTTGTCTGTAAAATGGGGATGGTACCACCAACCTTGCAAGGTTTTTAAACAAGATGTCATTAGAAACTCTCCCAGTGCCTGCCAGCCGGAGGCACACAGCAAATAGGAGCTATTGATGATGATATTTCTTTTATAAAAATTTCCTTAAAGCTCAATATGCTGAACGTAGTGCTCAGTAAACCCTTGGAGACTTAACCCAAATGGGTTCAGCAAAGGAAAGCCTATTTTTGTGGTAGAATGCTGGTTTTACATTTCCATACTAATATTGATATTCTTTTAAACATCATATTTGGAAACCTCAATAGCTGCAGGCCTTAAGAAATGGCCCTTCTGAACTCTGAAAAGCTTAAACCAAAAATTTCCATTTTATTAAAACTTTACCCTTTTAGGAAATGGTAGTATTGTTTTTTGTTTTTTGTTCAAAGATCATATGTTATCTAATTCTTTGAGCTCTCAGGGTTGAGAAGAGTTAGGGAGACCACACATTGTTGGCCATTGGATTCCCTTAGATGTAGGATTTATCTTAGAGATGAATAAGACAGTTTTTGGAGAAAATGCTCCCTTAATCTGCTCAAGTCAGAGATCTCAAAGCACTGCAAGATCTCAAAGCACTGCAAGAGGAGAAATTTTCTCTGGAATGGGTGGAAAAGGAGTATTTGGAGCTGATGATCATGTCTCTGATTTAAATGGAGAAAAAAGTGGTACGACCCTCTATGTTTCTTTTCCCCCACTAAGAATTTCAAACCTCAAGATGATACAGAGAGTTGGGGAAGAATGAATAAGGAGTTTGGTATAAACCATCCTGCATACTGACGAACAGAGCAGTCTCTGGTGTGAAATGTATACCTGAGAATAGACAGGCTGCTCTTCCCAATGCCAAAAAGTTAGAACCTGCTCCAAAGTTCTGATGTTCACCCTCCTCAGATCAGAAACCCAAGTCCAGCCTTCCTCAAAAAAAAAAAAAAAAAAAAAAAAAAAAGCTGAATTTGTTCTTCCTTCCAAAAATCCTTATGAGCTTGGAAAATCTTTCGTTCATAAGAAAAAGTGTGAAGATTTTCAGTTTAGTCCCTCCCACTACATTATCTCTTCATGGAATGACCCCATATGGGCAAATAGCCCCAGAAAAGTTCACATGAGAATGAACTTCAAACGATTCTAAATTCAAGGGTTTAAGTCTTACAACTGATGTTCCAGGCAGCATGGGGCTCAGACAAGACCTCCCTACTGTGCCCCAAGTGACTTCCTGACTCACAGAAACCATGAGAGGTAATCTATGATTATTGCTATTTTAAGTTTTGTGGTTATTTGTTGTGCAACAATAGATAACAAAAACACATTACCTTTCCTCTATTCTAAGATAGCATTAATTATAAAAGCCACCATCATTTTGATTAAATAATAGCCCTTTATGGAAAAAAAAATAATGCCACATTAAATGCACCCATCAATTTAAAGGTACATTCAGAAATGAGAAAGGGGAAAGCCTGAAAGATGTGTGTGTTGGCGCGGAGGAATTACAGAGCATGCCCAGCAGAGCATGGCACCTGATGACCCAAGAAGTTCTGTCTCCCGGCACACCCAGGAGAGCAACTCCAAGAGTCTAATGTGGAAGACCCAAGCACCTCACAGGCAATAGAGGAGGAAAACCCAATCCTTAGCTGCCCCATTATTAAAAAATAATTTCAAGGCCGAGTGCGGTGGCTCACACCTGTAATCCTAGCACTCTGGGAGGCCGAGGCGGACGGATTGCTCGAGGTCAGGAGTTCAAAACCAGCCTGAGCAAGAGCGAGACCCTGTCTCTAGTATAAATAGAAAGAAATTAATTGGCCAACTAATATATATAGAAAAAATTAGCCAGGCATGGTAGTGCATGCCTGTAGTCCCAGCTATTCGGGAGGCTGAGGCAGGAGGATTGCTTGAGCCCAGGAGATTGAGGTTGCTGTGAGCTAGGCTGACACCACGGCACTCACTCTAGCCTGGGCAACAAAGTGAGACTCTGTCTCCAAAAATAAATAAATAAATAAAATAATTTCATGCTTTCCTTTAAAGGAAAAAAACAGAAGGACA